CTACTTGTACACACTGGACCATTCAATATTGTGGTGGACTACAGTCGGATACTTCTGACATTGTGCTGCTTGTAAATCCTGGACTATTAAATATTGTGGTTCATTGTGGTAGGATACTTATGACGTTGTGCTACTTGTACACACTGGACCATTCAATATTGTGGTTCACTAAGGTAGGATACTTATGACGTTGTGCTACTTGTACATACTGGACCATTCAATATTGTGGTTCACTATCATGGTAGGATACTTATGACGTTGTGCTACTTGTACATCCTGGACTATTTAATATTGTGGTGCACTATAGTCGGATACTTCCTACGTTGTGCTACTTGTACATCCAGGACTATTATTGTGGTGCACTCCAGTGGGATACTTCTGACGTTGTGTTACTTGTACATCATGGACTATTTAATATTGTGGTGGACAACAGTCGGATACTTCTGACGTTGTGTTACTTGTACATCCTGGACTATTAAATATTGTGGTTCACTACAGTCGGATACCTCTGACGTTGTGTTACTTGTACATCATGGACTATTTAATATTGTGGTGGAATACAATCGGATACTTCTGACGTTGTGTTACTTGTACATCCTGGACTATTAAATATTGTGGTTCACTACAGTCGGATACTTCTGACGTTGTGTTACTTGTACATCCTGGACTATTTAATATTGTGGTTCACTATAGTCGCATACTTCGGACGTTGTGCTACTTGTACATCATGGACTATTTAATATTGTGGTGCACTACAGTAGTATGTTTTCTGTGACTACAGTTGGATACTTCCTACGTTGTGCTGCTTGTACATCCTGGACTATTAATATTGTGGTGCACTATAGTAGGATACTTCTGACGTTGTGTTCGGTCAATCTTAAGCCTCTTGTACACTGGGTAATTTAATATTGTGATGCATTATAGTCGGATACTTCTGACGTTGTGTTAACATACATGTTTTTTTACGTTGTGCCCCTGAACATATGTGTTTTACCCTGTTCAGAGGCAATCCGATATTGCTAAGATGGATCAAAAAGTCTGTGATTGTCATATGTCTGCAGAGCGAGTGGTAGAGTGCGGGTCATCGGCCCCCGAGGTCCTGGGTTCAAATCCCGCCAATTACCAATGGATTTAACCTGAGTTATAATGCTGCGAGGGGGATAGACGTAGTCTGAAGTAAAGTGGAAAACTCCGATCTAGAATCTAAAGAGGAACAACTATCCTAGTGTCAAAGTTTGAATTCGATTTGGATGTTGCCAATCAGAAGGCTGGTCACGGGTTGCGGTGCTCGCGGCAGTTAATGATTACTCTATTTCTCCGTTGATAGATCAGTGCCCGGGGAGGTCGTCTTTATTCTTTTAAATTAATTCGTTGGGAGGGCCTTGGAAGACAGGTCCTTGATTTATAACGCTGGTTGAGTCGTTTTACACGCAATTCTAAGGAGGAGGCGTTTTGGATTGATGTGGGGAAATTGAAATTTGGAAAAATATTGATAGCAGAGGGTCTAGCAGGCACTGTTTTGCTGAAATAAAACCTGTTTACTAACAATGGATATTAAGGGGTGTTAATTTACAGAAAATTATATTATGTTTTTTGAGAGCAGTCCGAAATCCGTGCACAAAAAAAATTATTTACAAGGACTTTATAATCTAAAATAATGAAGCGTGATGAATTTAGAGTAAATAGGGGTCCTGGCCACTGGTCGCAAATTCAGTCGCAATATTTATACAATCTAACCTAACATGACCAAACTTCTATATGCAGATTAGGGCCAGAGGTGGGTGGTGCTCCGTTTCCCATACATTTCACCAACTTGGTAAAAGTCATTAATTTATTTTGATTCTTGATTCAGGGTTTCAAGTGAAGTACACATTTTCGTTCGCAATTGACCTGCATCCATTCCGACAAAACATTATCTAAAATAAGCTTTCTTCGGTGTATTTTTTAATTATTTCAACAAAGATTTATTTTTAGCATCGATTCGTTTCAGGAAAGAGGAGGATAGTTAATTTAGTTAAAGTTTATCTGCCGTTGCATGTTAAGCAAAGTACAGTGAAACGTATCTTCTCGTCACGCAAGTGAGACCGTCCAACACAGTTTATTACCGTTGTAAAATATAGTGAAGTCAAACATAAACTGAAACTACTAGAGAAGGCAGCAGTCTTGAAATTACTTTGCTTGAGTTTTGAGTTAAAGCACAGAGAAGTAGTATTTTCTTGATTGAGCACAGCATTTTCTTAATTGAGTAGCATTTTCTTAGTTGTGACTACTGATTTTTCTTAATTTTATGACAACACACGTGAGATATTAAGTTTTTCTGAACCTGAATTAGTGCATATAACAAAGAGTGAAGCATAGTACGATCTTTAAGCGAGCAAAATTTTAGGAAGAAAACTATTAGCATTGACTATGAATTAGCTAACCGATTATTCCGCTCGTTCAAGAAAACCTAAGAGCATATTTGTAAATTATTCGCACAGTGTTATATATTCATTGGCCGCTTATGACAAAATTGGCGTTTATTTAAATCGCATGTAAATACATCCATAACTTGTAGCCGATTAGCACAATATTCATATCGTAACTGAGTCATTTGGTGAAGGCCGACTTCTTCATATCACCACTAAACATTAAGGTACAATGTTCAATGTTTAATGGTTTATTGCTTGATAATTAGTTGTTTCGAGTATAAACGTTTAAATTTTAGTTTACGATTCCTTCTTTTTACTAAGTATTAAAATTAACATGAAAAAAGTTAAAGTTGCAACACACTACCTAAAAACTAAATACTAAATACGTGGTCGAATTTTATGGTTTAATAAATTAGTTTTAGTTACACTTCTCTGTGGTTACTTGATATAAGTTCACAAATTATATATATTTTTTTAATTCGACCTTTCTGCTACAGTTTTCATGGATAATAACCGATACACCTCAACAATAGATGTTTGAATACTAGTAGTCGTCCCATTTAATTGACCATCTGTAGGCAATTTGTGATTACAATAGAACATACAGTACAGTACAGTAGTTAAATGAGCAGCACAGAATGTGCTACCACCAAAATTAAATTTTTCTCTTATAGGCTATTTCTATACTTTTATTATTTTTAGGACATAAAATACGTAGTTAAAATTGTTTTTCTTTTGGTTTGGGTAAAACACTTGCCCTTTTGACACTATTCAGTAACTTTCATCAACGCAATCTGTCAGTGACTAAAACAAAAAATTTGTTTCATTCTAAAACTTCCTTTAACTCTAAAATGTGAATGTAACGTCTAAATTTATTGACGAATAATAAACCTAACACGAAAAACATTAGACAACAATGCTACAAAACAGCTGACCGTCACAAACAGCTGGCCAATGCTGAATGTACTGTATTGAACCAGTTGGAAATGTCTGCACTTTCTCCATTCTATTTCCGATACTTAGCTCATCCGTTATCAGTTAGACAGTCCCTCGGGTTTCTGCTGAGTGGGAAATGCTGTTAGCTTTCCAAAGGGTCCTTGTATTGTGAGTGCTGGGAGGTAGTTTTGAAACGAATCTGCACAATGGTGTAAAGACAAATTGGCATTGCCTTCGTTTACAAGTGTTTGTTTAACTGTAATTTGACAACGGTGGCATATTAGTAAATAAATAAGTAATGTCGGGGTAGAGTATGTTGTATTGTGGATGAGGTTGTATGGGGTTTGATTAAACTAGTTTGTTAGGGATTTTTCGGATTTGTTACAACAGTTTCTGTATATTTTATAAAAAAAATCGATATTGTATTTCTCGGTTTTTCTCTTGCCGATTTTGATAACTATACTCTGTATGATGGAACATATCTCCTGTCCCTACGTCTTGTACCTGGGGAATGGTCAATGGTTTAATGCATGGTAAAGAGCCAAGTTCCACCACACAGAATAATATGACAATATATATAGATATCCATCCATGTCGACCACTATACTTTGTTCAATTATCGAAGGCAGTTGGTGATGGGATATACTTGTGGATACAATACTACTAATACAACCCTCATTCATTGGCCACAGATACATCCCATGCCAGATTTGCCTTCGTTATTTGAACATACTATAACTGAAATAAATGAATTTATGACACTTACCTCCATATTGTGAAGTAAACATCTGTATTCGCAAAATGTGCATACAAATAATTTGTATTTTCCTACACATTCTATATTTTTGTGTTTAATGCCACGTGGCCAGGTGACAGGTTTAATTATTGATTTCGGTTTTATTTTCTTATTTTTCTATAATATCTAACCTTGGGTAACATATTCCATAAATAAACAATTTTCGTGCCAAACGATCATTTATACTACATCTTCAATTTCGGGACAGTAGGACAAGCTACGTATTGTATATGAACAGCTGATGTCAGACGCAGAGAAGTTGTTGTGGGAAGCCTCGAGGACGGGCGAAAGTTCAATGCCGACCTCTGATTAAATCATTCGACCTGTCGTTCAGGGCCCCTCATCTTTCATGTCTGAAAGGTTGTTGTTCCATATTACTTGGGTGTGGAATCGTCTTGCTGTGGAAGAACCCGTTCCAGTTATAGTCTGTATCATATGGCCTGGAACCTGTCTTAATGACCCTCCTTTTTGGCATTTAATTTTTTTTCTTAATTTTGAATTTTGAATTGAACCAAGTTAATTTCTATCTAACATAGGTCTCTTCTACCTTACCATACCTTCCAAGTTTCATAGAGATCGGTTAGAAGAAACGAAAGATTAAAATGTCTTATGTAAAATTACAAAATGGCGCATAACTGGTTAACGAAACAAGTTGGAAAAACGTTTCAATCGTGATTTTTCTCTTTGTTTTGACCCATAGAAATATTTCTTGGAGTATGGTTGTTTACTTGCAGGGAATTCTGTAGTGTTATTACTGATTATTGTTTTACAGTTATCTCCCTCATACTTTTAACGGCATTTTCACGATTATTGTGTTGGGTGCAGCATTTGTTTGACAGGTGTGTGTTTTGTTGCAGGCCTCCATGGACCTTCCTCCTGACAAAGCCAGGGTCCTCAGGCAATACGATGACGAGAAGAAGTGGGATATCATCTGTGATCAGGTCAGTTGTATTTTTGTTTCACTGAGTTTGTTTTGGATTTTGTAGAACAATTATCTTACAAGCTCAGGGATTTTCTTGTCAAGGTTCGTTTTAAGTGTTAAGCCCATAAGTGGTTTATGAACCATTTCCTCATTTGTAACGACACATTTAGTTAACTTAGCTTAGCGTAAACAGAATGATTCGATTACATGTTGGTTGCTCGTACATTTGATTATGTGGTAAAATTTTACATAATTGTTGACCACAAAGTCACAAGATTTTCGATTCTGGTGGAAGATGTGTTTAACTAATAGAGGTAACAGATAGTTGAAATAGAAACCTTTTTGATTCATTTTCGCAGATGTGTTTATCACGATCGTGAAATGTCATTAGGAAGAACCACTGAAGTTACTCTAGTGCACAGGTTAGTTAGTTTCGTGAATTTTCAGTCTAGGCGAGCCGAACTTCCACCGGACTGAGGCTGTTCTAAGACCATGTCCTCTCCAGCCTGCACGCACAGGTTCTCTTGACGTGATATTGTTCCAGTGGTCGATGAGCCATCTCGGTCTGGCCTTAGGTAATCTTTTTTATGTCCCTAAGATGATTGGTATGCGGAGGACCTAGTGCGACAGGATGACAGGACTGAGCAGGATATGCAGGACAATGGTCTGGAGGAAGTAGCGGTGGACGCCCTTCCACAAATGGTACATGCGTAGCCACTAATGTGGTGTATACAAATGGACAACTGTAGGGTGCAAATCTTCGAACGCAGTGGAAATATTCGCAGGTGGAAAACGTGGGGTTTTAGCCAGAGGCTGTGATTGGTTCAGAAGTGGGATGAATCATGCTGAAGAAGTATTTAAAGGACCATTCTGTTACGTCCCAAGTGAAATAAGATTTTGATGTGAAGGATTGGGAAGGGTATTGACATTTCGTGGTTTGAAGGCATAAGCCCTATAATTATCCCAAACTGGTCGGTTACTCATACTTTACTAAAATAACTCTTTATCGACAATTCATATACAATCTGACTAGTTTCGATATATACAGTATGAAGGATAACTGATAATAGATTAATCATAAAAAACAATGATCACACATGGGGGTTTTCAACTTTGTGTGACGCACACTACTCGGGACAAGTGGTGACGTGACAAATATATAGATTACACATTGGAAATTCGATTCGAAAGTACAATAGGAGTTACAAAATCCTTGATTTGTCCAAATAGGAAAGTAGTCACACAAATCATGTTTAAATTCAACGTTGACAAGGTAGCAACGCCTTTATTCCCTCTTGGTCGTCTTTCTTTCCATTCTTTCTAAATCGTTAAAAAGCCGCAGTTTTTCGAAAGTAGTCACAAAAAGCATGTGTAAATTCATGCTATAGTTCGGCCGCTTAGAAAACGACCTGCGCGCTAATGCTAAACCAATGCTAGAGGAGGTCGCTTTCTAAGCGGCCGAACTATAGTCCATGCGTTGACAAGGTGGCAACCCTTTTATTCCCGCCTGACCATCATACTTTCCATTCTTTCTACAATCTCCACAAAAGCCGCAGTGTTTCGATAACGACAAATTGACAATCGCACAGTTGTGAGAAACCGCAGACAATGACGAGTCGTTTCTCCACGGTGACGTCCGGACGGTTGGTTGTGTCAACAGATGACGTGGCGATGAGCGGAACAGAAACAGCAGGTCTCGGTCCGCGGCGCAGCTTGTCGGACAAAGCGCGGGCGAGAAGATGGCATCGCGGAAATTGCTCAAGCGATGCTTTCACGCTGCAGAAGGTCCATGGTAACTGGGGTCGCCACAGATGTAATATGTTGTGATGACAGCTTCCTCTGGTGACGTCACTGGAGATGGAGAATTGGTTGAAACTCTTCAGTTAGGAGTGGATCGTGCTTCAGGTGACTGAAGCATGGTCCTAAAACAGGCCCAGTCCAGTAGGGTTCCAGCTCACTGGATTGGAACATCACGACGACTGCGCTTCAGAAGGGTTGGTCGAAGTGCAACATCGTCTTAGATTATTGGGCCGAAATGTTGGGTGAAACGAAAAGATCGAGAATATATTTCAGTTTTGATACATTTTTCATATTGCCTTTCAACAAGTTCTTCTTGGCACTTATTGGAAACTTTGCATTTCGTTCAATTCATTTGAGGCCTTTCCAGGAAGATGTGTCTTTGGTATGTTTTGTATCTCCCTTTTGCTAAAATTAACCCGTTTAGTAACATTAAGACATTTTATAACAGCATCTTCCACGCGTACTCTGGGTTTGAAATGAGATTCAGATTCCGCTATGGATATCGATTATTTACTTAGTTAAATTTCTAACATTATTCCTTGCATGCAAGTGAAAGAATGTAATTGAAAACCGATCAACCATTGATATTTTAGTTTCAAATGTTCTTCACGACGAGGCCCATGAAAAAACACGACGTCTTCAATGGTAGATTCTGTGACCTAATTCAAAATGTGCATTTGATCGCCGATCATAAGAGGTCTCGGATGCTCAGATACCGTGGGAAGACCTATTTCTCACTTCCTTCCTCCAATTCACCAGTTAAACTAGATTTTGATCGGTTAAGTGCCGAACAGGTTGTGATTTTTCATTGAAGTGTTATCTACCTACTTCAGCCAATATGAGCAGATTATTCAAGACGTTATAGAGGTACTTGCTCTAATCTCGTCGTGTAGTCGTTTGTTCAATCACATTTTAATCGCTTAAACACTTACAACCCGTTAGTCTTAAGTACATTGTCAACTTAAGCGATTAAAAAAATGAGTTAAGGGGATAGCTTTTTCTGGGGCACAAAAATAGTCTACATACCTGCCTGTATCAATGAACAATTTAACTATTGTTAACTAATATTACTGTATGTTGTGATGTTTTGCCTACTTATAAAATATTTAGTTGGTGTGCCAAACTTCAACATGTCAAACTTCTAAGACATACTCAGTAATTGCAGTTCGATGCTGTACCTTACAAGTTTTCGCAAGTAAAGTTTAAGTAATACATTTAAAAAATACATTTTTCACGGGTACAAATGTTTGAATCTAATGTTAATTGAAACCTCAGCCGAAAATATTAAATCACTGTTGATACTGATGGTGTTTTGGGAAATCGACTTTACGTTAGGGTTGCGTTGCGTTAATTGCTTCCCCTGGCAGGAAGTCCCGATTCGTCTTGTTACACTAGTACATATTACACTTGTATATAGATATGCAGGAAATTTGATATTAGATTAATCATAAAACAATGATTACACATGGTATTTCTTACTGTCATGTGTCGCACATTACTTGGGAGCAATAGTGACGTGGCAAAGGTCTAGATTAGATACTTTGCAACTTCGATTCGGAAGTCGAATTAGAGTTGCACAGTCGAGAACACACTGCTGCACCTTTTTTGATTGGTATTCGCCTTTACGGAGTTATTATAATGTCCGTGATTTACTGTGTCCAATGAGAGAATTCGTTTATGTCTTAGTTACAAATCGTTTTCTTAATCGATCGATGGCTTTGTCCGGAAACCTTGTCGGAGTTACGAATGTGGTGCATCGCATCACATTGCAGGATATTCGGCTTACCTCATGTTTCATTGTTGAATAATGTTTTGTCTAGGAGTCACTTTGTCGAAGCTAATCATATCTGTGATTCATTTTCCCATGAAAGAATTCCTAGATCATCTCGTATTGGACTTGCTCAATTTTTGTCTGGAAATTGCTTTTGTAGTCGCGACTGCGTGGTTAAATGATTCTTTTGAAAGAATCTGACGTATATTCTCCTTTTGCACCATTGCATTGTTTTGTCTAGGAATCACCTTGTAGTCAAGACTGCCTGAGGTACGTTGCATCACAGGATCTCCCGCTTAGCTGTGACTAATCGCTTTCCCGGCCACGGCTCGACGCCCGCGCTTTCCTCGGGTCTTTACACTTTCTCGCCTCCCGACGGGATTTGGACAAGAAAACTACTGTCGATTTTTATCTTCGTTGGTTATGCAATCAATGACAAGTTTGATTGCAGTATTTCGTAAAACACAATGGAAAAAAAAACGTGACAGTAGTCTTGTAGAATTACGGATTGCTGTTCTGTCAATGCTAAAAGCCCCAATACATTTTTCTGTTTTCAATTGAAGGCTTGAATGTGACTATGTTTCAACTGTGGTAATAGTGTCGAGGAATTAGATATCTTTCATTTTCCACTAGATATAATTTCCTCTCGTTGCCTACTATGCCAAGGAACATCCATTTAGGATGACGCGGGTTTTCCCAATTAAATTTATTGGTTGGCTACTGGAGCTGATTTTGAAATTAGTCATTTATGTTTACTACTACTGAACCTTCAACCAAATCCTCTACATTTTTCAACAACGACCCAGTCTTCTACAGTATGAACATATTTAATCTATAAGCGCTCCTCAGCCTGGCTAAATGAGTTGTTATTACTTGAAGTCGAAGTTCTCTTTTAACATTGAGTCATCGTTATTCTTTCCTGTTTTCATAGTTTTTAGGTGACAAGATTGTTTATAGCAGTAGTCATTCAAAGCGCACTATTGCAACAACAATGTACGTGTGTTGTGAGCCATCCATGGATAATAACATAACTTGTCCATGTGTTGTGTTACTTGTATGATTGACATGCCAAGGCCTCGCCAAGATGGCAGCTCACTGTGTCATGACTGACATGTGGTGTTCATTTGCCATCGTGTGTTTGTTTTGCATCACCGTTGTCATGTCAGTTTGACAAGTGTTTTAGCCAAACAGCGGAAACAACACGTATTCCAGGCAATTTCACTAAACGTTCCTACTAGTAAAGTGACGTTACTTACTTTTCTGTTGGGATTTGTTGTTTGTCAATTATATTTTAAACGTGAATTTTTTATTGTATGAATTGATTTGGGTTATTTGTTTGATTCTTCTCTGTATTAGTAGAAGTTGTTGTATGTTAACCTAAGATTTGCTCATATTATGATGTTTGAAAATCTTCGATTCCTATCTAGCAGAAAAATTGTTTTGTGTAG